CGATCAGTTGGTCGATGTGGGGTAGTGGGAATGAATCTTTTGGGCATGCCTTGTTCAGATCGGTGAAATCTACACACATTCTCCACTTCCCGTTCTTCTTTTTTACCATGACAACGTTGGCGACCCACTCGGGGTACTTTGATTCCCTGATGGAGCCGTTGGCCAGTAGCTCGTCTACTTCTTTACCGACCGCTTCATTGATAGCGGCATTGAATTTTCTCCTCATCTGTCGCACGGGCGGATGTAATGGATTGACATTCAGCTTGTGGGTGGCGATGTCTCGCGGGATTCCCGGCATATCTGAATGGGAAAAGGCGAACAAATCTGCATGGTTAGTTAAGAATTCACAATACTTGGGTTGGCGAGACTTTGCCCGATATAGGCTTTCTTCGTAGGATCGATTTTTTCCAATTGGACTGGGTCGAGGTTGTCGACCGTTGCTTTACAGGCTTCCACGATGTCGGGGTCTTTGATCACATCCGTTATCGGGTTGACCTTAGTTCCCGACACGGCTAATTGCTATGCCTCCTCGCTCGCCCCCTTTAGCTGTTGGGTGTGGGCGCAGTCTTGGGCTATTTTGTAGCATTCTTGTGCGGTGCGTGGCTCGCCTCGAATGCTGAATACTCCCCATGGGGGTAGGAAATTTGATCATTTGGTAGTGGCTTGAAGGGACCGCTCGCATGGCGTGTATCCATGGGCGTCCTATGATGATGTTGTACGCCGTTTCTTGGTTCATCACGTGGAAAGTTGTTTCCAGCGTGACTCCTCCTACTAAGACGGGCAGTGCTATTTCTCCGGACGTCCGTTCCACTGCATTGTTAAAACCGGTTAGTGTTATGCAGCGCGGTATTACCTTATCCTCGAGTCCCATTTGTATGAGGACCCTTGGGTGGATAATACAGGCGCCGCTTCCGTCATCGATCATGACTCTTTTAACATCTGTATCAGCGATACGTAAAGTGATAACTAAAGCATCATAATGAGGGAAAGACAAACCGTCGGCATCAGACTTATCGAAGGTGATACTATCTTCGAAGTCCTCATACCGTTCATGGGCGATGGTCCGCTTTAGTCTGTGTGTGGTGGCGAGTTTGACGTGATTGATCGCTGCCTCGTCGCCGCCTCCGACGATCATGTTTATCGTGCGCGCTGGGGAAGGCGGCTTTGGCGGTCCGTGGGACTGTTCCCGTCCGCGTGCAAAGTTTATTTTTCCTTTGTCACTGAGTAGCTCCCTTAGGTATCCCTGGTTCAGCATCCTGACCACTTCTTGCCGTAGGCCGATGCAGTCTTCGGTTTTGTTTCCTCGTTCCTGGTGGAACTCACACAGGGCGTTTGATTTCCTTGTGGCAGGGTCGGATTTCATCTTTTGCGGCCAGTGCACCTTGGTGCCTAGCTTCTCCAGTGCGTACACTATCTCTGAAGGAGACACACAAAAGTTATGGGCGGTTAATAAAGGGGGCGTACCTCTTTCGTTTCGCAGTGGGGCGACGTGTCGCTGTAGTGCGTCTGTATGCCTTGGTGGCGGATGGGAGGATCTGGTGTACGGCTGGTGTCGATCTCTGTTGGAACGAGGGAGTTGTTCTCGTCGTCCTTCGTTTCGTCGATCTCTCCTTGTTTTCGAGTGTATCGCTGTTAACCGTTGGGTCGGCCCATTTAGATCATCCTCGTCCGCTCGTACCTCGGCGCAATAAGCGTTGTGGATTTCTTCCCATGTGGTAGGGGGATATTTCATGAGGCGGCTCAGCAGTTTCTTGGTTGCCCTCGAACCATTTCTGCTTAGCCCGTTCTGGAAAGCGGCGACTGCCATACCTCCCGATACGTTTGGTAGGCTCATCCTTACCCTGTTAAACCTTGCCAGGAAGTCCCTGAGTCCCTCTCCTGCGTTTTGCCTGATGGCGAAGATGTCGTTGAACCTGGCTTCTGCATTCTTCGCGCCTGCATGGGCTGTGACGAATTTATCTGCCATTTCCTCGAACGTTGATATTGCTTTAGCCGGTAGCTGAGAGTACCATGTTAGGGCCCCTCCTGTCAACGTCTCGCCAAATTCTTCAGTAGTACCCGATGGTACCTGTTCTTTTGATAGGTCGTTGCCTT